GTTTTTTTTTTTTTTTTTTTTTTGGTTTAACCTTTAAGTCTACTCTGATGATGGAAGGGTAGAAAGTGAGTCTGAACTGGAGTTCAAGGGCCCCAAAGGGAAGCATCGCTATGAACTGTTGTGGGACTCCATGGACTTCTGCTGTTTTCTCTTAAAGTCTAAAGGTGCAGCCTCCTGCTTCCCGCCCGGCAAGGCATTGTGAGGGCTTTCCTGTGGGGGAAGAGAGGCCTTGATCTGGACCCTTGTGAGGTAGGAGGGATCCGGAGTGAGTGCTCAGATTCCCAGGCGGATTTGACCACCTCAGTTTCAAAGGACACGTTTGGTCCTGACATCTTTGTGCCTTGGCATATTAAATTTCAGTTAAGATATGTGAATTGGACCCCAGTAGGGCACTAGAAAGACAAATCACACAGAAAAGCTCCCTTTTAAAAAATGAAATAATTGCTTCCTTCTTCCTCATAATTAGCCTGCTCCATCCAATAGATTTTGGCAAAGGGAATTTTAAGGTCTGGCTTGGGGAGGGGAGGTGCAGTATGGTGTACTGACAAAGCCTGCTGCTGCCCTCTGGTTTTTCTTTTCTCAGCAATGCATTGGCTGTGTGCCCTTGGGCAGGTTGCTTCAATTCTGGGGAGCCCAGTTTCCTCAAGGGGACAGTGAGGCATCCACATCCTGAAGGATCCTTTGGGTCTGAAATTCCCCTCTTCCGGTGTTCTGAGTGTAGACTCTACATCTTTTCTGAACTCTTTCCCTGATTCCTTTCTGTGCCTGCCTCTCCTGGCCACAGGGATCCTTTGGTGGTATCCTGCTATTCTACGAGTCTACCTCTGGCTAAAGCAGGGAGATGTGGTTTGTGCTGCCCTCTCCTCAATCCACGTGTGCTCACCTACAGTTTCATTTTGAGGGCCAGGAGGTGCCAGCTCTGCAGGACCCTTCATTCTCTCCCCTCCCCCAAGTATTTACAGCACTTGTGCCCAGCAGGATGACACTGCAAGCAGTGAATCATACCTTCCCCTTGCTCCTGCAGGTGTGAGGCTAGAGTCATCCCCAGCAGCTGTACACATTCTGGATGATTACCCTGCTGGAGATAATATGATGGTCTTACAAAGGGATCCAAATAAGTCATTTATCCCCATTCTGGTCTTTCCCAGTCATCCACATGTTTATTCTTAGGATTTTATACATCATGTATGCTCTGCCATTAATACACACTTTCGGTGGTGCCTGAAATTTCACATGACATACATCATACTTAGTTGTTGAGCTTAAGTTGGAAACTGTGTGCCTGGCCCTGTGCTGGGGCCTGGACCTGACATTTCCAGTCCTCAACAAGCCCAAGGGGCAGTAATGTCAGGATTCCTACCATTTTACAGCTGGAGGAGCTGGCTGAGGATAAGTCAGTTCCCAGAATAATCAGCAGTGAAACCTGAGGTTAATCCCTCAGAAATGAAGATAAACTGTAGCCAAACTGATGGTGTCAGTTGAATATTTTTCCATCCTCTACTCCAAAAAATAAAACTGGTCTTATCATTATAAACTCGTGGCATACTTGTGAGAGAGAAAACCCTCAGTGATGGGTAATACCATTGTGCCAATTATCCTGAATGAACACGATGATATACAAGGGCAGGCTACCACTCACAGCTTCTGTTCTCAAACAAATTCTCTTGAGGAATGTACCAAGTATTTTGTGGCTTCCCTTGGATCACATTTATGTACAGATGTTGTTGTGGTGATGGATTTTGCTGCTGTTGTTGACAGCCACTAGAAGTTGCTTGTAGGATTTTGACTCATTTCCTCAAGTCTTCCCCCAGCTGATTAAAGAAGGACACCAGGAAATGAGCTGCAGTGTCCTAAGCGGAATTCTTGAAGCTGGACTGCAGTGTAGTGACCCCCTCAAAGGCGGTAAATTTTCTCCAGGATGAATTTAGCTTGACAGGCTAAGATGTGGGAAGTGCTTTATTTTATTGTATTCATGTGTGGTAACCTTTACAAAAAGGGATTGAAAGACATTAGAAGGAATCTTAAATATGCAAAATTTCCTATGCAATTTCTGTAACTTGGATATTTTTTTTCATGGCTGCAAATCCAGAGTAGGGAGGGGGACTACAAGGGAGTTACCACAAGTAAAAGTTTGATTGTAGGGCAAATCTTTGTTGAAAGAAGAGGGGACTTGTGAGTAAGCCTGGTTTAGCACCTCTGATTTCTGACATTTTGACTTCAGACTCTTAATAAATAAAGAGAAATTCCAAGCTGATAGTCCATGTTTTGTTTGGCCTGCACGATGCTTTTTAAGAGAACATTGAGGCAATATTTAAAAAATAATGGAGAATTTATATCCAGATCTCTTGAAGAATTGAAAACTGCCCCTCTAGATAGGACCTCTGATCTTTGGGTTGCTTTAGTCTAGGCAACACCGCTCTCTACTGCCAGCCCTTGGGCATTAAAGCATTTAGTTTGGGCCCTGGTAAGCCCAGGTGGTACCATGCAGATACCTTATAGAAGGAACACAGGTCTAAGGAGTGAGACAGCCTTGAATTAGCCTGCTGGCACCGCAGCTGATAGCTTTGTAGCCTTGCAACAAGTTGCTTCACCTTGCTGAGCTTCACTTTTTCATCTAGTTTTAGCTGTGTGACTTTGGGAAAGTTACTTAACCTCTCTGTGTCAGAAATGTGTTGCTGCGTATAAAGTTTTTAGAATGGTGTTGCCTGGCAGGCTCATAGTGCAAGCTCAGTGTATGTCTGCCGTACTTATCTGTAAAATAAGAATTATTATTATCCCTAAAATGGGATTAAAGCCTACACTAATATGATTGCCCTAACAATTAGAAAGAGATCCTTGTAAAGATGCTTGGTACAGGGCTAGGATAGGATAGGCACATAACACATGTGTAAACTGTATATAGAATTTGACTGTTTCTCTTTATAATCCTTGTATGCAGGTACCAATAAGCACTAACTTGACAGCTTTTAAAATGGAACAAACTTTAATTTTTGTCTTGAGGTTTATACAGTAACATAACAGTTGGGAATTACTAGTTTTAGAGATTGAACAGGTCTTGGGGTAGGATGGGGGAACCAGAAGATTTCTCCAGTGAAAACATTTATACCTGATAATTTTCCCATTCATCTTATGCGTTAGCCTTCATGCTTAGTTTGGTTATGGCACGCTTTGTTAGATCTCTTTCAAGGCATACCTTTCTGACAGCTAGATTTTCAATACTTTTGCAAATTTTAAAGATTAAGTTAAAGTGATATTTAGGGCCTATGGCATTAGAGTAACCA